GCCGACTTGAGGTCTCTATGATCGAGAGAGGAGGAGTTTATATTATTTATCGATGGTGTTTTTGATCGGCATGCCATATTATTGTTAATACTTCTCCTTCAGGAAGGTAAAATAGTACAATCACCCCGAAAATTCAGGCAAACAAGTTATGAAAGAAAACAAACTTTATTTGCGAATAAATAAAAAATTACACACTTTTCCCTTGGTTGTGCCCATGATTATATAAAAGATTACTAAATTCGCTACAAAAGGAAAATAAAATCAACGAAATCAGACAATTTTTAACAAAGATACAGCTTACTGAAATTTGTAAACATGTTGGTCCGAAACAAAAATGAATATTTAAATTAATTTTTGTTTCCTTTGTCGATTATATTTATCGATAAAGTAACATTTGATTTCTTTATTTATTGATACGTTGCATTATTTTATTTTCTTATTAATTTGGCATTTGATAACAATATGTTGTGCGAATTTTTTGCACTGGCCGACTAGTTATTTATAATAAGATAACTTTTGAATGCTATTAGAAAATTATCTGTCGAAAAAAGTGTTTTTGTTTTCAATTCTATTGATCGTTTTTCGATGAGAATATAGTTAAAGGGATGGCTCATTGAATACTCATCACTTTACCAACTATTAATAAAAATGTTTTATGTTTTAAATTAATAATTTAATTTACATACCACAACTGGAACAAGGCTCACTCCCACCAAGCAGAAGATTATTACTATCTTCATGTTGCTGAACCTGGTCGATGACTGGACTGGGATCTTCGGTTGTCCTGTATTTATGTCAATAAGTTGAGTTGAGGATGGAAATGAGTGTGAAGGAATGAATATTTAATAGTCTCATAGCCCGATAATAATTAACATCGATGTTAACGTTTAAATCGATGTAATTTGATTTTAATTTTCCAAATTTATCACTGTAATCCGAAACAAATAAATACTTATTTTCAGTACGGTACGTATTATTGTTTCTGAGATACAAAAAAGTTTTCATAAAAAATCAGACTTGGTTATTTAGATTCAGGTGGCTTTGAAACATGTATTTCACTAGAGACCATTAATCATTTCTAATATAAAATAATTAGTGTTACCTTAAATAAAAAAAATAAAAAAATCTGCAGTGTAAAATTAAGGCCACACAATATAAGTGAAAGCATCAACAACATGGACTCGATAATATGGAATATAAATATTTGTACGTTCTATATTCAAAAAGTAATAACATTTATAATATATACAATTATAATTGTGATAAATTACTGTTGTAAACTTTGTTCCAACTGATCATATCAAGTCAGTATCATATTGTAAAAATGAAATATGTTTATCTTCAAGTTTATTTATTATCAGCCATTTTACATCAATTTTCAAAATTTTGTCAACTTAATGACTACACATCTAATTACGACGTTTTGGCTCGTTGAGCCATTTCAAGTCCTTTTCACTAAGAACAGGTACTATTGGTATTTAGGTATATAAAAAGAATCTCTATATGTTGAAGTATGTAATGTTTTAAATATGATTGTAAATTGTAAAAATTTGTTTAGACTTGAAAATGATTCAACGAGCCGAAACGTCGTAATTAGATGTGTAGTCCTTAAGTTGACAAAATTTTGAAAATTGGTGTAAAATGGCTGATAATAAATAAACTTGAACATATGTTTATGATGACTAAATAATTTGATGATTGTATATTTTCATTATTTTAGAATGATTCGTCATATTTCGTATTGAATACGTTATGATTTTTTTTTTTTTTTGACACTATGTTTTTCCTTTTTTTGTCTCTCTAATACGGTGTCACATCAATATACAATTTTGAATAATAGCTCACTAGAAAGAGGATGAAATGCTGTACATTTCCCTCGCTTACAGTATGCAGGTCCGATTTTTAGTTTCTTAGATATTTTATTCCAAATCTTCATTAAAACTCGTTATCAGTTCGTTTTCGAATATATTTTTCTCTTTTCGCCTATCTAACACGGGGTCGCTTTAAGATATAATTTTGAATTATAGCTCATTACAAAGAGAGTAAAATTCTGAACATGCCGAAACACTTCAGTTGGGCAACTCTAGCCAAATATATCCCAACGTTACACATCGGAAATCTGACGGTTCAATCGAATTCACTTTTCACAAAAAAAAGTGCAAAACGGATCTAAAGAGGTTTTCACTTCAAAAATATAAATACTTCTAAAATCAGCGTATAAAATTCAATAAATTGTAACTTTGCTAAAATGGATTCGATTTAGACCTTTGTTTTTTTAATTACCCAAATTTTAAAAACCTTTTAAAAAATGCGATAATTGGCTCTTAGGCTTGTGATAACGGCTTTGAAACTGAAAGATTCTTTAAAAAAGCGAATTAAGAATTTTGTTTAGATTGCAATACTTTCCTCTCTTAGTAGCGGTATAGGCGTACTAATTTTCAATTTAAATTTAATTGCTTATGAGACAATCAACAGTAATAGATCATAAATAAATTAGCAAACATAAAATAGAAATAGAAATAGAATACAAAACAAATAATTTAATTTGTTTTTCGATCCCCAGTAAACAATTTTATATTATTCCTTTCAGTTGGAGTTTGTTGTTTCTTAAAATGATGTCAAGAATTTTGTTTTTTGTTTGGCTTAAAAAAAAAATCTGGTACAGTGCGCACATCGCACAACTTTCACTTAGATTTGATAGGTATTTTCTTGTAGGAAATTGAAGTGAAAACGTCGATATAACTTCATTTAAAACAATTAATTACCATTTTCCCCCGCCAATAGAATCAGTTAAATTTATACATTTGCATCACCTTTCACTTCTTTTGCGCGTGAGTGTAAAACCAAACAATACTAATCATTGTGGAGAAAATTTATCTTTTGGAAAAATTCTGAGTTTGATTTGGAAACATTTTTCACGAAAAAACGTCTGCCAAATAAGATAAGAATAGCTTCCTCACCGTTTTCATTGGCTACAAAATATCTGTGTTACAAGGTCTAAATTTTTTCATATGAGAATAAAACATATCCGGGTTTGATATCCATGAGTTTTGTTCTTCAGCGAATACTAAAATGCGAAAGATTTCGCATTGGCAGATTGTATATTTGATGATTCGTGAATAGAAAAGAAATTCCAGTTCATACTGAACATGCAGGTTTGATATGTTAATGTAAAATTGAATCTTTTACAGGAGAGAATAAAAACCAATTATTTCTTTATGTTTTATTAGTATAATTTCATATTTTATTGCCCTCTGCTATTTTCCGTAGTAGCAGACTACTGATATGAATCGCAGACTACAAAAATATCATCTTTAGCACAATAGAATAAAAATTGAAAATTTTTACATATGACCTATTGCATTAATAGAAGTGATATATACTCAAGGTATGTTTTCACTTGCAACAAAAAATCTATAGGAAAAAATCAACTTTTTGTTTGTTCAGCGTTAACGAGGCCAAAACTTTTCTTCAGTCAGAACTAAACTAATTAAGCTGTAATATAAAAATATGCGGGAAGTTCAGACTACTTTGATATTTAAATACTCTTAAGGAGGAAATCGAGACCACGATAAGTTGGATGAACATCAACAAAAATAATGCTAAAAAAAACTGTATCACTACAACTCATGAAAAGTTTTGGGTTTAATACTCTGTGAGGAAGTACTGTTACAACACCAACGTTTGTGCAGATAGTTGATTGGGTCGAGATCACGCTCAAGTAGAAATAAAGAGAATCACAAATAACTTATTTTCACAAACTCAGAGTAAAAATCAATTTAAATTTATTGAAAATTACAAGAAATCTAAGTAACGACAGTAAGTACCATGAGCTAAGCAAAATCTAGAATTGATCAAACAATGCAGTATAAATTATCTTTTTGTATGAAACCTAAAATTTTATAACCCCATAAAAATATTGTATTAACCTACCTCCCACTCCATAAGATCAATGGCTTCCACATTTCACAGCAATTATATTGTTTACAATTATTTAAATTATTTTAATTATCAAAAGAAATTCAATGAAATTGATACCAGGTAATATCTATCCTATTCATCAAATTTCTTCCAAGTTTGGGTGGAATCGAACGAGCCGTTTTCAAACCATAGACGTGTCAATTCTGAAAGCGGAATTATTTTTTTTGGAAGTGCTAGAATTTGATAAAATTTATACATATTTGATTATTTATTTTTCAATCCTTAACTTCACTGCACTCAAAATTTGAATTAAATCGAACGTGAATTTTTGGAAATATAAACGTATCAAGAAAAACATGTTTGCACATATATAAGAGAAAGTAGTAGACTGAATTCAATAAAATTATTATTGAACAAACTCTCTTTAAATACTGATTAAGACCAAATAAACTTCTTTTTTTTTCTTTATTAATTTTTCTTTCTTTATTAATACTATGTTTATGTCAATAAAAAATCTAAATGTATCTAATCTGTAGCGTTTTTCTAAGATCTAAATTTACATGTTTAATAAATAGCTATTGGGTTTCTGGCAATGGCCAGATTCTCCACTCAGGACATGAGTGTATATGGCTAAATCACTCTCACTCAATCTCCACTAGGTTTAGCCCCAGTGATGTGGTTGAGAGAGAAGTGCAGGGATCTGCTGGAGTCATGCTTTTCTCTCTAGAGTTGGAGGGACAGGTCTGGCTCATAGTTCTCTTCCCTGATTATAAATAGTGTATATTGGTATGCATGTGTTATTTTTTATTTATCTACTTTTAGGTTATTTTATTCTTGTTTATTGAAGAGAAGAAGAAGTAGAAAAAAAAAGTCTTTTTATTTATCAAAATTACATAATTTAAATTAAAAAATAATATTTTTGGATTTAAAACTGAAAATCAGGCGTACTACATGGTCTGTTGACCATCAGAGGAGTATGTTTTATAACAAAAGTATATTTCAGTCTATTTATATACAACTAATCAATAAGAATATAAGAACAATTATATTTACAATGTAAAAGTTATATAAATATTTTAATTAAAAAAATGGTGGTATCAAAATTCTCCAATTTATTAATTGTTAAATTTTCTGGTGAGCATTATTCTATAGGAGAAAGCAGACTTGCAGTAAAATACCAATGCTATCCAATTGTTTCCATTTATTAAATCTATTACTTGATCCCAAGACAAATTTCTAGATTTTAACCATTTAATTCTAAATTCAGAGAGTATCGGATAAGCAGCCAGGAAGTGATAGAGATCTTCTGTTTCGTTTGTATTACACATGCTACAATTATTATTTGTTTGCTTGAAGTGTTTATAATTTAATTCTTATTTATTTTATATATATTATTTTTCTGTATACTTTATTTTATTTATTGTACATAAAGTGTGAATGTGATCTCTGAATACTATTATAAGTGTCCTTTAAGACATATTGTCATATTTTTCAATAAACAAGTTAAAAAATAAATAAAAAGCAAAGTAATAGGTAACTGCAAGACTCTTGCGAGACCTGGCACAAGACCAAGACTAATAAAGACTCGACCTTGCATTTGGGCAACACTAATTAAAATTAATTGAAAGATTTGTACTTTATAAATTCTCTTATTTAACTTTATTAATGCTTCAAAATATTTATCATTGGTTCGTAAACTAGTTTCCAGACATCTATGGCCCACATGAAGTCCATGTGGTTGAAATTAGGCAAAGGAATAAGCACCTTACTGCAGTTGGGTAATTGTTTGTATAATGTCATCACATCCTGAAACATAATACAAATATATTATAATTTAATAAAATAAAATAAAAAAGCCCTTAATAACTCTTCTAATAATCCTATCTGTTCTGAGGGATGGAATTTAGTTACATATGATGGATTGAAATGATATTAATTTGACTTTTTGTCCGACAAGTGAACGCTTTGGAAAAGTATTTTAATGATATTAGGCATAGGAGAGTATCACATTGGGGCGGTTATAAATTAGCCATTCCTTAACTAACATGGCAGAGTGTTTGGTGTTTTTCTTTCAAGTATCTTTTATATGTTTATTCACTATACCATGTTAATATTTCCACTATTAAGTGAAGATTTATAACCTCGTGCCCTACAGTATCCTTTAATAATACCCCACTTATTCCTGTTGAACAAATCCGATACCTTGGACTCCACTTGGACAAAGGTCTAACCTGGAATCCGACTACTCCAACACTTACTAGACGAATGTTTTAAGGTTCCAGTTAATTACAAAAGACTCATTTACAAGATCTATTTGGATTTACGGAGTTGAGCTTTGGGGCTCCACTAAGCCATTGAATTCCTCTCGTATCCAATCCTTACAATTCCAAATCCTTTGGAAAATCCTCCCTACTTTGTTACAAATAAATCCATCCATAACGACCTTAATGTTCCTTGTGTTTCAGATTTGGCACAATCCAGATACCAATCCTTCCATAATAAACTTTAGAACCATTCGAATCCTCTCGTCTCTAACATTGCTTCCTCTTCTATCCCTGACAATCCTCCGAGGCGTCTGAAAAAGAGATGGCCTCGAGATCTCCTATTGTAAATACATTTTTTTTTTAGAGTGTTACCAGTGGGTAGTTTCTCAACAAGTGATTTCATGTTATTATTTTCTTTTATAAAATTTACTAAATGTATTTTATTTATTAATACAGTTGTAAATATCATAAATAAATAAAAATATAAAAAAGTGAAGATTTGCTACACTCTGTCATACATCCCCACACCAAGAAACAGAACATGAAACATAATATAACAGAACAACAAGAAAAAGTGCATAAGGAAATAACATATTACTAGGGTGTTTATTGATTACAATAAACTATTGTTTTCAATGTAATATGAATTGGATTATTAATTTATTCAATAATTTTTATCAATTTCCAGGTGTATCATTTTGACTGTGAGCCAGTGCATGTATTATGATTGTTCAAGTATATAGCTTAAATCATTCATATATATATATATATATATATATATATATATATATATATATATATATATATATATATATATAAATAACCCTAAAGCTGCCCTCCTTCCCCCTCTCACCAATTCCGGTAGTTCAAAAAGAAAGTGAATGAAGTAATGTTGATTGATAAATCCATATGTATGAACCTTCAATTTCACACATGCGTACTTCTTCTGTCTCATACTTGATCGCCTTATCGTAAGTATTAAAACTTTCCAAGAATTAAATAGTGAAGAACTTAGTGCAAGTAAAGTAAGGAATTTTAAATATAGTCATTTGAATATAAAGTATAAAATGAATGAAGCTGAGATCATTACCTTGGTATCAGATATCCAGTCATTGCTCGCGTGGTGCAGAACAACCGGAGTTGTAATTTTGCTCAGGTCGTACTCTGGAGGATCTTCTTGGCGATAGACGATCTTGTTGATTGGCTTGCCGTAGTCGTACTGCGTAAACTTGCCTCCTAAAAGATCATAAATAAAAAATTTTATCAGATTTTTTTAAATATTATTTTGTAAACTAACATTTTTCAAACGTGATATGGATTAAAAAAATATTTTCAGTAATTTTTTTTTCAACAGGTCAGTATAATACATAATTTAGTTTTAATGGACATTTTGGTGATTCTCTGTTCCTCTCTTCAGTATCTAAAATAATAAGATTAATATATTATAGATTCTATCATAAAGCAGTGATATTGAACTTTAAAACGAATAACATTTAAAAAAAATACATAATATAAAAAAGTGTTAGCCTAATCTAATGTAAATATTCTGTTCATTATTCCTAGAATTGGTGTATCGAGGTTTTATTTGTTATATAAATTAAGCCATTATTAACCAACATTTTATTTATTAGCTGTTTTATTTCGACAACGTTTCGACCACCACTAGGGCCATTTTCAAGTCTTATTGAGTCCTCCATTAAATTTTCATTATTCAGTGTTGTATTAATTTTTCAGAGAAAATTAACTTGTCATGATATTTTAGAGTTTCCACTACGTTATTTCTGGAAGGACTGATTCTAAATTATACTGACCTAGAGGCAACAAATTAATGAAAATATAGCTTTAGTAAAAAAAAAAAAATGTCAAAACTAGAAAATGGAAAAAAAAGTTAAAGTTTCAAGTATCTTTAACAAAATCGATAAAGGTTTGTGCAAAAAAAAAAAATCTTCAGATTTGGTTTAAAAAAAAATTCAAACCCGAAACAATTTTCAAAATTTCATTCATTCATAATTTCATATTTTCATTTTAATTTTCATAATTTCATGAAGTAGAAATATTAATATTTAAATCGAAACGAACCGTTATGAGCCAACTGAGTGTAGTGAATAAGTTGCTTCAGAGATGTTCCGGCTGGAACGAAACTTGTGACTGTCGGTATCAGAGTCTGAAAAAAGTAGATTATATAAAAATTTTGATAATTATTTAAATTATTTTATACAGTTATATTTTTTAAAATTACCGAATTAACTTGCTGAGGATCTTGCTCTGACGTCAAGTAGATAACATGGCTGCATAATTTCTGTGTTGATAAATTTAAATTACATACTAATCTAAGAAGGAAGTGTAAGAACGATCCTGATAAAACGCTATAAGAATGAAAGAACTCTGACAGCCTCTGAAATCAGAATGATAAGATTAATCTTTGCATCAAATAATTATTTATTTTAGATTAATTATTATTTATTGTAAATATTTCATTTGAATATTTCTAGTCTTTTATTTAATTATTAACAACCACCTAAAACTTCATGAATAGCTTCATCTCATGATTTCATTCTGTAGATTGAAAACACGTGATTTACATTAAACAATGTTAGTTTTTATAAATTATTATTTATATATTTATAGTTTTTGAGAAAATTGTAAAAATGTGTTTCACCGTTGATATAAAGTGGCACCTCCGGTTAGCCGATTTTAATGAAAAAGTTGCTGTGACGTCTAAGGCATATACCTATCTTAAATACGTAATATCAGTTAATTAAGACTTTTCGTTTTCAAGCTAGAGTGTTCACAGACACAGACTTTTTTTCGGGACTTTTTTCCAAAATTCAGATTTGAAAATTTTCAGAATTGCAATACATTCCCTTACTATATTTTACATATATATGTTAGTGAAAGTAAAAAGAGCAAAAGAAAAGAAAAGTTTACCTGGATGTTTATTAATTACAATAAATTATTATATTTAATGTAATCTAAATTGAACTATTTATTTATTCATTAATTTCTATCAATATACAGATGTACAATTTTGACTATGAGCCACAGTATATGCAGTATCTTATGATTCAAACCGAACAGAAAAAAAAATCTCATGCTTCTGACATTTGTACCTCATCCATTGGACTAAAACCTTCGAACATTCTTGTCCACTCTGCTGTCTTCTGCAATTCCCTACCATCTAATTTACGCCATTCCTCTTTCTTTTCTTTGTTAATTTCTCCAAAAATAAAAAATGGTAAAGGAAGTTGTTCAGGTTCAGACATTGCAAACTCAGTTTTGGTCTAGGTCTTAGTCTTGCGCAAGAGTCCTGCAACGGTCTAGCAGTTACCTATTAGCTTAGTACTATAGACATATTACTGTATTTTTTTTAGATAGAGGAAACCTAACTAAGCCTCAATGAAAAATTAGAAAAGTTAAATGCAAAAGTATATTGGTTATACCAATTATATACATACAGTAACTAAATTTGTCAAGCATTAGTAACTAATTTGTCTTCTGGCAATGGCCAGATTCTCCACTCACGACATGAGTGTATGTGGCTAAAGCACTCTCACTGAATCTCCACTGAGTTTAGCCACAGTGAGGCGGTTGAGAGAGAAGTGCAGGGATGACATGGAGTCATGCTTTTCTCTCCACAGTTGGAGGGACAGGTCTGGCTCGGAGTTCTCTCCTCTGATTGTAATAGAGTATATTGGTATGTATGTGTTCTTTTTTATTTATTTACTTTTAGATTATTTTATTCTTGTTTATTGAAGATAAGAAAAAAAAGTCTTTTTATTTATCAAAATTGCATAATTTAAATTAGAAAATAATATTTTTGGATTTAAAACTGAAAATCAGACGTGCTAAATGGTCTGTTGACCATCAGAGGAGTGTGTTTTATAACAAAACTATATTTCAATCTATTTATATACAATGTTATATAAATATTTTAATTACAAAAAGAGTGGTACCAAAATTATCCAATTTATTAATTGTTAAATTTTCTGGTGAGCATTATTCTATAGGAGAAAGCAGGCTTGCAGTAATTTAAATTTACCAATGCTAATAAAATTGTCAAGCATTAGTAACTATTTTGCCTTAATTTATATTAAAAAAATCTATTTTTTTTACCATTCTTGTTCTTGGTCTTGCACTTGGCAAGACCAAAACCGATTTTGGGCAACACTAACTGTAACGGAGAAGTTGGCTGCCAACGATTCACCCGAGATTGGGTCCAGATAAAATATACCGATTGCCCAAAATTATATAGTACTATTAAACACTAAGCATAATTTAAAAATTTTAATTATTCTTATTGTATACTTTTGTCCTTGAATAAATTTTTTTTTTTCTTTAAACTTACACTCAGTGCTGGAGCAAACAGAGTGTTGAACTTCTCCGGACCACTAATATTTTCCATGAACGCTATCGGTGCTAGAGCGGACATGTGAAGTACCTTCTGGTTGTAATTGGGACGAGAAGACATCAAGACGAAGAATTGTGTTGTTCCTTCCGAATGTCCGATGTAATAGAGAGCTTCGTGTCCTGTCGTCTTGAGGATGTAGTCTATACTGGCAGAAAGGTCGTAGTAGCCCAGCTCGTGGAAGCTAAAATCAAATACATTTTATTTATTAGCTAATCCTTAATAATACTTTTACCAAAAAAAACAATATGCATAACTTCATCACAATTTTTACCAAGCAAAGCAAATCGAGAGTTATGTGTCGTCGTCTAAAAGCTATGTAACGCTTTTTTGAGCGAATCGCTGGATTACTTTTTAAGTTTGATGGCTAAAATTATTCGATGAGATCCACAAAGTGTTTCGTAACAAATTAAACTAAAAATACTTACCCATTCTGAAATAAAATACATTTTATTTTATATTTTTATATTATTTTATATTTTATTTTATCTCTATGAGACTAACGACCTCGATCAAGCCAATGAAGTAGAAAGGGAAAAGAAAGAAATCTACGAGAAATGCATCCCTTTCCTAAAAGAGAAATTCCGCGAGACCTTCGGAGAGAGAGAGTTCACAGTGAGAGGCCTCTGGTTTGGGTCTCGCGGAATGAATCCTAAAAGAACAGGGAGCTTCTTCGAGGAACTAGGTGTTGATGTCGGGGAGCTTGCAATGTTGGCCGAGGGTATTATTCTGGACTCCCTTGGGATCAGTCATCATCACATATATGGTAATTAAGGGTTGATTATCGTTATTTATTTATTTATTCAATTTTCAATTATTTAAGTGACCATATATTTTTGTCTATGTTCATAGGACTATGTTACTTGCTGTGTGTGCTTTCTAATTTTCTGGTGTTAAAACTTAGGCATTTGAATACTATATATATATATATTTTTTTTTTTTAGCCCTATAAATTTTTATTATAAGTATTTATATTGATTGTGCTGTGTAAAAGAAAAAGAATCTATATAATTTGTATGTCCAAAAAAAAAAAAGGATTGATGAGTATGCTGTGTATCGAGCAACCCTATATAGTAGGGCAGCACTGCTTTAAATAAAGTATTTCTCTCTGGCAAAATAGTTTTGTAATGCTGTTTCGAGTGAGAAGCTGGATCATTTTTTCAAGTTTGATGGCTCAAATTATTCTGTGAGATCTCCTTGGTGTTTTGGAACAATTTGAGCTAAAAATATTTATCAGTTATTAAATAAGATGTATTTTATCCATTTGCAAAAATCTTCGTAATGCTGTTTTGAGCGAACGGCTGAATCAATTTTTAAGTTTGATACATTATATTATTCGGCGAGGTCTTGTGAATATTGTTTAAAAAGCAAAACGACACGAGGGTAATGTGTTCGTGGTGGACAGTAAAAGCTTTGTAACACTGCTTTGAACGAAAGGCTGAATAGATTTTTAAGTTTGATGGCTCAAATAATTCGGTAAGATTTTGTGAGTATTTTGAAATAATTTGAGCTAAAAATTCGGTGTAAATTGTGTTTAACCAATCACTGTTTTGAGCGAAAAACATGATCGATTTTTAACTTTGACGGCTGAAATTACTCAGTTGGATTACGTGAATGTTTCAAAACAATTTGAGCTCAAAATACTGAAAAAAATGTTTATTATACTTGAAAATGAATTTTTTTTAATTTTAAAAACTAAAGACGTAAAAATAAAAAAAATATTTTAATTGAGAAAAAAAAATCGACTACAGTAATTGGCAAATTTTGTGCACATTGAGGAAATGTACTGCCATATCTACTGAAACATCTCAGTACATTGAGAAGGAAATTGACATCGACGAATATTTTAATTTTGTGTAGTAGTCGACTTGCTATCACACCTTCGACTCCTTCGAATGTAGACATGGACTGATACATGGGATGAAATATATTTGCCTAGAGCCGTAATGTGTAGTAAAAGGAACCTGACCACTACATCTAGTTTAAATATCTGTAGATTTCAATTTCCATATCAATCTAACAAAATGCTTCAGTAGGGAAATACATTCCCTCAGTGAAGATTAAATTTCTGTAGTCATGTTTTTTTGTTTCTTTTTAAATTAAAATATATTCCCTAAACTGAAAAATACATACATTTTTTTTTCAGTGGTCCATAATTTTTTACGTCATTGATCTGAGTTAAATACTTACTATAATATTTATAGTTAAATACAATTATAATATGTGCTCTTTGAATACGCGCTGTATTTCAGCTAATAAATGTATCTACGTGTCAAGAAAGCAATGTAAAAAATGTATCCCTAAAAGCATTATTTTTCCTATAATTACCGTTATTAAAAAAAAACAAATAAATAAAAAAAACTTTGGTGTATGCTTTAAACTACAAGATAGAAGTGAAAACATCAACGAGGTGAGATTAATAATATGAAATATAATTATGAATAATAGCTCATTATATGAAGAGGATGGAATCCTGAATATTTCCCTCACTTTCAGTATGCAGGCCCGATTTTTAGTTTCTCAGATATTTTACTCTATATCTAAAATAAAACTCGTTATAATTTGGTTTTCAGCTCTATTTTTTCCCTTTTCACCTCTCCAACGGTGTCGCGTTAATACTATCATAAATAATAGCTCATTATAAAGAGGATGCATTGATTAAAAATTCCCTCGCTTACAGTATGCAGGTCCGATTTCTGAGATATTTTAATCCATATCTTCCATAAAACTCGGACTAATTTGGTTTTCGACACTATTTTTTCACTTTTAGCCTCCCTAACAGGGCGTCGCGTCAAAATAAAATTTTGAATAATAGCTTATTACAAAGAGAATGAAATGGTGAACATGTCCCTTACTAATATCCATATGAAATAACACTTCAACTGGTCGACTCCAGCCGACTTTAGCTGCTTGTTATACATTGGAGATCTGACGACTTAATCTAATTCACTCTCCACAAAATAAGTGCAAAACGAGCCTAAAGAAGTTTTCACATAAAAATGAATCCTGAATCCACTATTTAATTTTGTGGTAAATTCAAACTATAAATAATATAATAATATAAATCATTTAAAGCAGAATAGGTTGCAAACATAGTTGGATTACATGATGTCACAGACGGATCTACTGGAGGGGAGGCTTTCGGATTGAAGCCCCCTCCAAATGGTAAAATGTAACCATGTTTTATGAAAAAAAAAATTATCTCTTTAAGTATTATTGTTCCTTTAATTACATTTAATAAGACTTCAAGAATAACTTAATCACCATTTCATATGTGTAGTATCTTTCTTTTTTTTAATGTAATAATTGTTATATATATCAAAACAAAAGCTTTCGGGCTGAAGCCCCTACTCTCCCCCGAATTAAATCCTAAATCGGCTAGTGCATGTGATCTTTGAAAACCAAAAAAATGAACAACTAAAGCTGATTTATTACCTGAAGTCCCAATATTTATCCTCATCAAACCAAGAGTTCGGATCCAGCGTTCGATGCTTCCTACTATACGTTGTACCTCTGCTGTTGGGCATCCATACGTCATATCCTTGGTCAGCCATTATAAAGCCTGGAACAAGTGTTACAGATACAAACATATCAATTTCACTTTAATCATAGATTATTAGATACTAACCCAATCCTTTATCCGGTTCAGAGAATAGCCAACACGCAGCACTGCATTGGAGTCCATGTTGGAGTATGACAGGAGGACCCAGCTGATGTATGTCTTTCTTACCAAAAGGTATCCTGAAGAGGGACAAGACATAGCCGTCTTCTGTGGTCAGCTCATGAACATCAAAAGGGTAGCCATGTCTCAAGACAAGATCTGCCTGAAGTTATATAAATAAGTATGTTAGTATAAATAAGTATAAAATAATAAGTATAAATATTTCTTATTTCCTCAACCTTCCTTAACCTGGGAAGTATTCAGTTCATGGCTGCCTTCAGATTGATAACTGGACAGGATTATCTCAATAAGCATCTTTATCTCATGAGGATAGCGGAAGATGTTTACTGCACCTTTGCAGTGGAAGCATGGACATGTAATTATTTTTTTCACTAATACTCAATTTTCTTCAATATTTGAGCCAAATCGAAACAGCATTTTTTAAATATAGCCATGTTCCAATCAAGAATCCAGAGGTGCCCGAAAGGGGGTATCATAACGCAATAAAAATTATTGAAGGGTGGGTGGATGATGAATGTTTGGTTAGAGAGGATTTAAATTTTTGAGAGGAGCATATTTATATGTGGTTATAAATTTTCCAAATGAAAAGTTTCAAATCAGGGGACAATAGGAAAATATGGAACAGACCTCAGGAAGTGTAATTGTATATAATCTACAATTTTTTAAATTCTTCTAAGCTTGAACTTTTTTTTAAGAAGAAAAGAGCAATAAAATTTCTTGGAAGACAAGAGAGGAGGTTCATGCCCCTTGGAGAGATGGACACCTGTAGTATAATCCCTTTTTATTTTCATATGTAGAAGGAGAAAACCGAAAAAAAAATACAAGAAAAAGTTATTAATAAAAGAGAATTTTATTTGTGGAAAACTCAAAAAGTATACTTGAATGATAAATTATATATATCGATGGTAAACTTCAAAGATGTAAGTATCAATTATAAGAAGTTTGAAAACTGTTAGAAAATGTATAATCTAATTCTGTACAATTGTTTTAAGAAAATTAATATACAAAGAGAATTAATATATAAGAAATTTCAGGGTACTATCAAATCTTGAATATATTTCTTTTTTATTTCAAACTATAACATTTACAATTGTGAAGTTTGCCATCAATATGATTATTTGGAAAAAAGTCATATTTCCTATAAAAGAAATAGAAAAAAAAAAAATTGTCGAATTCGAATCAAACTTATAAGAAACATTGTATTCAGTTTTGTATAGGTTTACAAGAATATAATGTCATTGGTTCAAATATTTTAAGTGCTGATTTCAACTAAGGACAAGTTCCTAAACTCAGCTATTTCATTGTTTTGTCCAGTTTAGAAACATATCTGATGCCACTGATTAGCCTAGCACTGAGTTTATGACTTTGTACCAAAATCACCAAAATTAATTTTATAAGATTGAACATCATAAAATGAATGAATCAAACGGAATTTAATAGAATACTATGAGGTCATTGAACTATTGAAGTTGTATTTTCTGAAGGGTCCTGTTATATCATTCAAATTTATCTCTGAAATTAAATAACTTTCAGTTTGAGTTTACTTACATAATCTTGTTTACTCTTGGAAAGAAGGAATTGAATAAATTTTCATTCTAGATATTTGTCATGGGGAGGTTCCCGCAGGGATTTGGATGAGTTACTTTTGGGTTTCTTCTGAATGTAGTCGTTTGTCAATTAAAATTATAAAATCATTGAATGTTTGCCTGTAAGAAATTATACTAAAGAGAAATATGAAAGTAAAAAAAATAATTTTTTTTCAGATACAGAAAGTTAAATCCTCCTTAACAAATATTAAAGATGAGTGGACTTTCTTCTCTAATAAAAAATAACCAAAAAATTAATAAATACATTTTTAAAAAGATATTTAAACCATCAGTTGTAAAATATTTTTTTTTTAAATATAAACTTTTGCTTAGAGAGAAATCTGGTCAGAATGAAATATTAAAAAATCACAATCTATGTCACATTTTCCAGTATGTCATCCTAAAAATGATATGTCTAATTACAATTGTGATTAGTTCTTTATCATTTATTATTATGTTTTCATATTTTATTTTCCTCTGCTATTATTCATAGTAGACTACTTATGGCATTTGCAGAATACAAAATGTTACCTTTAGCACAAATAGAATAAGAATGAAATATTGTTACATACAACCTTTTGCACTAACAGTAGGGATTTTATTATTACTTTTTAAAATATTTAATTCTCATATTTTTAATTTTTTTTCTTTTAAATTTGAACATAGAACTTTCAGCGATCCCAGTCAGTGCCCTATTATTTTATTATAAACTAAGGAAATTGTTTTTATTGTAATCCTCCGATTCAATTTCAAGGTGTATGAAACCTTAAACCTTGTACTATTATGAAATTGATTTAAAATGCAACCCCACTTCTCCTCTATTGACCTTCAATACAGTGCAAAAGTTCATTATTTTTTTTTTAGGAAAAAAATTATATAAGCAATTTTGTCATGAAGATATGATTTGTGGATCTGCCCTCTTTAGGAGATATATAAGTGCACTGAATCTGACCTTGAATAGATAATTAATATTAAAAAAATATAAAATTGGTACTATGTCAGTCTCATTTATCCATGAAGTTCTCATAATTGTGAAAGAGTAGAGAGTATTATTTAAAGCAATTTAAAAGATTTTTATTTTTTTAATTCTGGTGCATGAATCACACATCTTTCATTTACCCCACCAATTTCAGAAAAAATTAATTACTGTTTTAATTGGGTTAGTTAATACGTAAATCCCTTATTGCTTCTTAAGTTATTAAAGGTTATAATTTCAATTGCATATTCTGTTCCTATGAAGATTTTATGCTTTACAAGTTAGTTTTTAAACAAATTTCATATTGTATATTTGATGATAAATTCATATAATTGTATATTTACATAATTCCAATTAAATAAAAAGATATGAAATTAATATGAAACATTGAAGTGGAAATTTTAGATGGCAACCATGGGTTAATATTATTATTAATTTGCTCAAGTCTCTTTAACGGATCTGGGGCTCAAAAACAAGCTTTCGCCAGTTATTCTTTTTCATTATCTAACAACTAAATGGCTGAGGTCCTATTCTAAATCTAAGTTTCCTAGGCAATCTGTTCTCATCCATATTCTCTACATGGCCTGGCTATCTGAGCCAGTACCTTTTGACAGTGGCTACGATATCGTCATTATTATATAGCTCATCACTGGTTTTATACGGACCGTATATTTTCCTAAGGACCTTTGACGTCCAAATTGTCGTAGCTTAATATTTAATTAAAACGCAACAAAACTTCCAATGGCGTACGCAGCTTTCATTTCAGGAGGTGCAAGAAAGGAAGTAGATAAATGATTTCAAACTCTATTATTGTACTAAGTAGTTTATTATTATTATAATTTATTAATATTAGTATATGAAATGCAATATACATTGAACAACAATTTAAAAAAAATTAATTTTCTCGAAATTAAGGAAAACCTTTTTGTATTATATTTTGTTTTCTTTCAAATTATTTAGTAAGGGAGACGGGGCAATCCCACATCTCTGCGTACATCCCTGAAAACTTCTTCACAGATTATAGACTATTTTTATTTCCATGCTTTTCATTTCTTTTTCTTATTCTATTTTTACACTACATTTTTCAATTTTAGTTTGCTTATTACTTTCCTTACATGTGGTAACGTTTATTGTTATTATAAATGTTAAAGTATGTGCATCATTTTGTTCAAACTTTAAATCTTGGACTGATCCTTTCAATACCAAATTTAAAACTAATGAAAAAGTTTAATTTTTTCCCCAAATATTGTTTGTAACAAGTTTCTAATGAAAAGAAGCCGATAATTTTAAGTGCATATTCATTTCTTCCTATCCCTCCTGTTGATGTAAAAAATATTTTTATTTGTTTATTTTTTTATTGTTGACAATTAGTTTTTCTTTTTAAATATAATTATCTATTGATGTTTTTCTTTTGTAATTAATTAAAAGTTTTTATTACTTTAATATTTTAATTTTTAAAAATGTCCCATATAAGTTTTTTTAAGCATTAACTCAATAATTAATTATTTTTGTTTATATAAAACCAATTATGAAATAATTGAAGAGAAGGATGGTTGGGGTGATCAGTCAAATTAAATGTTAAAAAATAAATAATAATTTTATTTATTTTTACATTCACCAACGTTTTGGCCTTCATCAGTGCTGGGAAAAGAACCATATAACAATAGATATAATAACATTGAATCATACAGAATTTAGATTAAAAAAGGTGATAGGTATAGACTAATAATTTTTAGCAGAACAACTTAATGTAAAATGAAGTAGATAGAATGAATATTAAAGTAAAACGAAGTAGGTACAATGATAACAATGAACCAATAACCAATGAAATAAGCATAATAAAATATAAGATAACGTAAGAAATAAAAATGGTAATCTAGAATAAAGTGTAAAACAGAGAAAAGAAATATGAAATCATATAAGGAAATAACAGATGTAAATAGAACATTATATTTTAAAATCCATCAAAAAATGTATTTTACAAATTGTAAAAAAATGTATCATATACAGAAAATAGAGATGGAGATATGGAAAATAGAGTGACGGGAATCAGGAAAAAAAGAAGAATAAGATAATAAAAAATAAAAAAACCTGCTGTACAAGAAGTTAAGTCAGACCTATAGCGAGCGGTAGGGGAGCTGGCAGATGGCGCCCTTTTTAACATTTGACCGGAAAATGAACTAATATGATGAACGAGAGATTTATTATAGATAATAGATGAAATTTATTTATTTATAATAAAGGAAATTTATTTATAACAGAGGAAAAAAATGAAATAATTTTCATTTAATTTTTAAGCCTTCATCAGGTTTATTTTTTATCTTAGAACTTTTTGTAGGCATATTTGAATTTTTATTTCTATCTTTGAAGATTTTTGTTGCATACTTTATTTTTTTGTTGCATATTTAAAGGTTTTTATTGCATATTATGACATATTTTGTAAGTTTTCCTTACATGAAATTCCGGCCTATGGTTATAAACATTAGTTTTTTCCAACTGGTAGTATTTAAAATTGGACCGTTTAAAAAATTGTATATAAATTTTTCATAACTTTTGAATTCTACTACCATTTAAAATATTCTCCATTACTTACGAGACAATATGAAATATAACTAATATTATAAATATTTAGCATACCACAGACAAATCTTCAGCAGACAAATGCGATGCCGAAACTAAAACAGAGAGTACAAGCAGTTGCCACATTGCTTGTCTTCGAGATGTTTACCTTCCCACTTGTTCAGGATGACTACCTTATCATTATGAACAAGTTGGACTGTGGCTGCCCACTTCACTTCAAGTTACCATCATATGATTTTCATTTACCGATGATATCACTAGTTTTTTTTTTTTTTCTTAACAGGAACATTGGAAAAAAAAGAAGCTGGGATGAAAAAAAAAATTATTAATTTTGAAGTCATGTTTATATATATCAGACTAAAGCTCTTTTAATAATTTATAAACAATACAAACTATATAGAATAAGTTACCAACAGATAGGAGATAAGTTTACTTGCCAACGTATCTATTTATAGACTTCGCCAAGTATGTATTCGGATGTCTTGGTGAGACGTCAATAGCAACATTTTCTTTCTCTCTCTTTCCTTCTTATTTTTTCTGTCCTGATGATGAAGTTAACTGTTCACTTATATTTTAGAGACTCATGGCTTTATAGCTTGGGTTGTTCCATTTAAAATGTCTCTTTTAGAGCTCTTATTTTAATAATAATTCATAAAATTAAGTCTTTTAAGAATAGTTGTAGATTTGGTACATAATAATAATAATAATAATACTTTATTTATTCTGGGAATAATACAGAAAAGTGTGCTAAGGAGCCTCAGTGATACATAAAAAAAAATACAAAGTAATTAAATAGTCATAATAAAAAAAAAATTACTTTCTAACTTAATTCAGTTAATAATAAGAAATAAAAAATTGAAAAACATGAAGTAAAAATGATTAAGAACGATTTAATAATTCATATAAATATTTGCACTAATATCTATTTACAATTTTATGAAGATTGAACAGGCTGGATTTAAAGGTAGGGAGGTCAGAATCTTATTACCATTGACAGTCTCTTTTTTTATTTAAAACTTTATTTGTAGAGAAGCTTTCGGTTTCTACGCACCATATTCATCTTTATAATTATAATACTCTAATCAGTATAAATTTAGTGTATTAGTTACGATAATATAGAGGGTGCTGACAGTAAATGCTCAGCACTCTGTAAGATGGTGTTGGATAAAGAGGAGTCCTATTTCAGAGAAAGCTAACAAGAGACCAAGAACAAGAACACTGTTCTTATCATTCATGTTTTTAAATAGACAAAACTAATAAAAAGTATGGCATGATCTGATAATAATTGCCTGACATTTCAAAAATGATGTAATACATATATTCTTAATGTTATTAATTAACTATTGATTTATACTAACTGGTGTATTGTAATTATAGAGATGAATATGGTGCATGGACACCAAAAGCTTCTCTACAAATAAAGTTTTAAATAAAAAAAAAGAAACTGTCAATGGTAATAAAATCCAGAACTCATAAGAACAAAAAAAAAAAAAAAAAAAACAGTCTAAAATTACCTAATAATGGTAGGGATGTTATTTTATTGATGGATGTAGGAAGGGATGTAGTTCCATAGGGATGAGGATCGGATAATGAACGATCTGTCAAAAGCAGCGGTTCGGTAAGACTCTGTGTATAAATCTGAACGAACAGGGGATTTGAATTGATGGAGCTCTGAGATGTATGAAGAACGGCGGGATTGGATGACTTGAAAAAGGAAGGATGCTAGGAAATACTTATGACAGTAGGAAGAATAAAGCCACTTCAACTCTGCATAAAAACGGGAAACAGAGGCATCCCTTCGGATCCCGAAGATGAATCATATTCATATATGTTATAATTATAATTGTTTAGTAGAAATTTAGAACAATAGTCTTTGTAATTTTAAATAGAAATCGTGAAAGCTGATGGAAAAAAAAAAGTGGATAAGAAATAAATTCTCAAAAGGTAGATATAACTTAAGATTAAAAATTATATAATTTAAAAGGCTCGTAAGATGACACTTAAAATAAGTAAATACATATGTATTTATTTTTTGATAAATTAATGTAAATATAGAAAAAATAAAGTATGAACACTGGGGCATTGATTTTTTTTTTTTTTTTTTTTTAGATTGTTAATTTTATTTAGACTTTTGAAAAATTTACATAGAAAAAGTAATTCAATAGTTGGAATGAAATCCCTAGATATAATAATTTTCTTAATAATAGTTTTTTTTTATTTATTTACAACAGGAATATTTTAATTTGTTTTAATCCCTTTGTATTTAAATTTTGCAGTTATCTGTTGCAAATTTGTGAAGTTTGACCACATTTTTTTTTTTTTGTCTACCCAAACACAACATTGTGACAATAGAATTCCAATCTTTGAACTTGAATGGTTTTAAATTTAAGCAGCTCATTGAGCAAAATGTTTCACCAGAATTATAAGTAGATTCTCAACTTTCTAAACATCTTTGGTATTTCAACACATAGAGATTCAACATTCAACATTCAAGCTATAGAGATTGATTTAAATTTTTGAATTTTACATATTAAACAAAATAATTTCACTAGGACATGTGTCCACATGCAATGTGAAAAATTTTGAATAGTAAAAATTAAATTGGCAGGTAAACTATTTTAAATATTCACAGAATTACTTGTTTACCCTTAACCAATTTTTCTTTTCTTTGTTGATTAAAATCGGATTCAATAATAAAATTCTTTTAATCGTATAAAATTTAAAATAAACTGTCAAAAGGTATAGAAGGATTATGGTAGGGTTTTATAATTTTATTAGCCATGATTTGACAACTTTATTTATATTTTACTATAAGTAATAAATCTGATAAATATAACAAACATAAAAATACTATAATAAACAGTAGAAAAAAAAAAATTATACAGATTATCTCTGATTCTGAATAACATTAATAAAACAATACAAATAAAGTAATAATAAATCATTAAAATAAAAGTAATTAAAATATACATTTATCACTAAAAATATTATAAAATAAATAGTGGAATACATGTATTTAAAATGTGTAACACATTTATTTAGAATAAAATGGACTATTTGCCTTGGATATTATAAAATTTAAAAAATGTATAAAATACATTATAATAAAATGATAAGTTTTAAACCTCCTTCTATTATAGTGCTTAGTTTTTTTATATACTGTTGGTGTTCTATAAAAAAAAAATTCACCTTTTTTTAGATATTTTAACAATTTTTAAACGAAGATTGTTAAATTATGGGGACTAGAAAGCGGATATACAAATTTGATTGACAAATTCACGATTGTAGCTATTGATGTCATAAATCTAAATAAACAAATATCTGGAAATATACAATTAAATGAATTTGATATTTTTGCAGAACTCCGATTATATATAATAACTTATATATTTCCCCTATAGTTATTAATAATTTAAATAATTAATGTGGAAAATTGATATATCACAACTAAATTTCATACTTTACAGAAAATAACAATTATAGGAACTTTTCAACAAATACAAGAAGATCTGGTCCAATTTTCTCAATCAGTCTTAAGTCTTTGTAAACTTCAATGGAGTAACCACCTTCACTACTATCATCCATTGTTCCTGAGATATCGTATCCATCCATAAGATCTGTTACAAGAGCAGGATACTCTGAACAGTAAAGGCAATAAGCCAAAAATGAGACTCTGTCGAATTCTGCAGTCAATTCTTCAAACGTTGGTTTTCTTCCAGTATATCCAAATTTGTCCAACGATTTAATAAGAGAGTCATGGTAGCATTTTAAGAGAGTTTGAAGATTAGAACGTCTTAAAGAAGGCACTATGGAGTAGAAAATGAAGAACCCGAGGTCAAAACACCATGAATTATAATGACACAACTGCCAATCCAATATCCTAAAATAAAAGGGATAAATTAATCACTAATTTAATTATAATTTGAATAACAGCAACATAGGGCATGGTAAAATACTTGTGTACCAACTTCTACGCCTTAGATTAGTAATCTAGTCGACTTTGCCTATTTTCCTAGTTGATTTTAGTTTAATTTATTCATTTATGAAGATTATTTGTTATTGATTTTGATTCTAATTTTTTAATCATTGTTCTTTGAACTATTGGGGGAGGGGAAAACAATATTTTCGCCCCCTCTCTATTTTTATAGGAAACCTATGTTATCGGGGATCGAAGAGGAAGCAAGGTTAGAAACGAGAGGATTACGATGATTTTGAAGTTTAAAATGGAAGTTTAAGTATCTGGGTAGGGCAAAATTGGAATGACCTTAATATAGGTAACATTAAGTTCATTATGGATGATTTTATTTGGAACAAATTAAGGAGCATTGAGAATTTCAGATATAAGCGGAATTCGATAGATTTTTTACAGAGTGGAAAATAAATGTTTCCATGAAAAAATTTAAAATTAATATTTATAGTTAAATTAATATTCATAATGCTTATTGATTTATTTAAAACTAGTAGGCCAGTGTGTAAAATTCGCACAGCATATTGTTAAGTAATCAAATGCCAAATTAATAAGAAAAGATAATAATGTATCAAAAAATATATAATTCAATTGTTACTTTATCGATAAAAATAATCAACAAAGGAAACAAAAATTAATTTAAAACTTCATTTATGTTTGGAACCAACATATTTACAAATTTCAATAAGCTGTACCTTTGCTAAAAATTGTCCGTTTTCGATGATTTTTTTTCCTTTTGTAGAGAATTTAGTAATCTCCTGTATGATCAGGGTTATAACCTACGGAAAAGAGTGTAATTTTTTAGTTATTCACAAATAATATTTCTTTTCTATCATAACTTGTTTGCCAGAATTTTCGGGATGATTGGACTATTTTGCCCGCCTGAAAGAGAAGGAATCCTTCAAAATTGGTGGCTCAATCTTGAGATTTGGTAAAGAATTAACGATGATATGGCTTGCCGATCAAAAACACCATCGATAAATAATATAAACTTCTCTCTCGATCATAGAAGCCTCAAGTCGATGAAATGAGACATGTATTCAATGACAGTACTACAATTAACGTAATTTTGTGTTGATGCGAACCCTATGCCTTGGGTTATCTCGAAAATAGTATGCTTTTTAAGTTTAAAAACGCAGGACCAGATGGTTCCAAAGGACCATCAAAATCTTCAAAGCCCAATGAGTCCAGTATCGATCTACAGACTTACCACCATTCCAGTATTGAAGCCTTCCAAAATTTTTGTATCGACTTTATTTATTTTAGAAAAAAAAACAAAAGTGGAGAATACAACCCTCTCTTCTCC